CAGTGGATGTGGCACTTGTCACTTCCTCTGATTGTCACTGCACTGTGCAGCATATCCTCACACACACACACCTTAATGTTTAATGTTTCTAATAACAAGCTATTTTTGTGTGTGTTCTTTTATATTTTACCCTCATTTAATGATTGTCATACACATCCCTTTTGTCAGTCTACAAATGTTATCCTGTGTCCTGGAAGGGGACAGTTTCAAAGACTGCAGCCACAGTATCTCACAGACACAAGTGCTGCAGTGGCCTAATAACGACAGCAGATACAAATAGAAAATGGTAGAAGAAGCTTTACCTCCTCAGCAGCTAACAACACAGAGAAACAGTAACTGCTGAAGTAACTACAGAACAGTTATTGCATCTTAAGGCATCTGTGGTTTAGCAGGTAGAGCAGTCATACACCACCCGGAAGGTTAGAGGTTTGATCCCCAGCTCCTTGGGCAAGATAGAGAGTTTCCCACGATGCGTCCATCAGAGTGTGAGTGTGTGGATGCTAGGTTAAAAAAGTAGTTGTATGAATAGGTGAATGAGGTTTGTAGTTTCCAGTGCATTTCCCATGTAAAATGTGTCTTTAGTGTGTTTTTATGAGGTAGTATTTGTGACTCCAGTATGTGCTCATTTATTTAATAAGCAGCTGTTCCACTGCAAACACGTTTCTCAGTGTTTCCTACCATGAAGAAATCAAACGTGCTATCAAAACTGCTGTTTGTTTTAGCACTATCACTGTCTTACATTTTCATCATCCCTCGGTTTCCTGTTGTTTTACCATCACTGTGGAGCTTCTGTGACAAAGTGCTTGATCACCCTACCAGCCACATGAGAGGACACAGTTTGTATCCGCTGTGCAGAGACTGTGGCCCACTTAACGCAGCAGACTCTGCCTTCCTCTACCGCTGTCCTGCACTGTGTTTTCTGGCTCTCAATCCACCATCTCTCACTCTCTTTTTCTGTCTCTCAATTAATTTCTCTCATCAAGATGCTAAATTTGCTCCACTGCCGTCCCACCACAAGCTGCTGCAGCCCCTTCATTCTCGGTTAAATTCAGACGAATGAATCTTCCCTGCGCTGATTATCCGGAGATCATCTGGCAGAGCACTATTGCCGGCGGCAGTTTTTATATCTTATTGGGAAGCTGATTTAAAGCAGATTTCAGGGAGGATGGCTAGAATGCTGAGAGAAGCTGTTAGGGAGCATCGAATCTGAGAGAGAAAAGAGGAGGATGACAATAAGGGAAGGATGTAATGAAAGCTGGCAGCACTTCTTTTGCACCTTGAAGACAGATATTCTTTATACACTGAATTTAAAACATTTCACATGCAGACAAGGGACGGTGAAGTGATTGTTAAGCAGGCAGCGACAGCAGTAAGAAGCCTTTTCCTGGAGCTCTGCCAGGCCACTGCGGGGCTGTGGATGTTCCAGCTTGCCACAGCAGGGATGGTTTGGCCTTCAGCCACAGAAATGTAAACCGAACTGTCAGAGGTGAAATGAAATCTTCTCTCACCAGAGAGAGAAACGTTGATTCATTCCAGAGAGTTGTTTGAAAATAATTCAGTGTGTCCTAGTAAATATTAATTCACCAGGCAAGCGGTCGAGCCTGCTTTTTGTTGTCATTTGTATGAACGTCAGAGGTGGAGCTGAATTTTTAAATCTGGTTCATTTAAGTTCACGCCGCCTCAGTAGGAATGGACCAAGGCTTTGTAAGTGCTCGCTCATTTCTAAAGCCCAGCAAAAGGATGAAACGCTGCAGATATTTTTACTAGAATCTGTAATGTCACCTGAGCAGGGCTGACCGATCTCGAGATTTTGCTTAAAAACACAAATCCAAAGATTTTTAGGAGTATCCAGTGAATCGTTGAATAGTTTTTAGAGTAAGCCAAACTAAGGGCATTTTATTTTACTATAATGATGTATGTTCCCTAAAGATGCTTTAATCAATCTGGATAAAACTTGCTATATAAACTGCCTAGGATACCAGGATTATCAGTATAAAGCTTTTAGGAATTATTATCTTCAGTGATGCTGTTTGTAAAATTGCTAAATGAATTTCTGTGCAGTGCAGTCCATATCTGTAAATAAGTGTTTATCAAACAGTGATGCCTAGGGATGGGTATTGATAAGATTTTAACGATTCCGATTCCATTTTCGATTCTGTTTAACGATTCTTTATTTTTTTAAAAGGAGAACACTAAAGTCGATTAGCTTAGAACTGTGTTTTATATCTTCTCTTTGAACAAGATAGAAATTTAGGAGTAACATGGCCTTACAAACCCAACAGTGAGATCTTAAGAGATCCACAGCCTACGGCTCTTCAATGGGGTGTCACAGGGTCCCCAGGAAAAAAAATGTATATGTAAAATAAAATAAATATTCTCCTGTAGCAATAACAAAGTTTAACATAAATTATTCTGTAGCAATTACACAAGAATATCCAGTAATGTCCTGCCTACAATTAAACACATTCACTTACCAAAGTGAAATCGGGGGCATCTGCTGTGGCAAATGGGTGCAAGCCTTTGACCACAAACTTGCGAGATCCTGAGTTAGTTTTGCGAGATCTCGCAAAAGTCCGTCTTAATATTTTTTTCTCCCATGTCCCCTGCAGGGCTCCGTAAGTTGATGTGATCGTTGCTACACTCTTTTCAGAGTTGAATTTCATATCATACTGCAAAGCATAGTTTGAGCAGACTCTAAGCAGCTGCTGCAAGCCAGCTCTATAAGGAACAAAGCAACTAAATCATCAGCATACAAATTATTAATAAGGCTCTCCCCCATCATGTATCCTGTATTCTGCTTGTTTAGTGTTTTAGAAAGATCATCCATATAAATTTGACGAGGAAAGGTTGTACTTCTTCCCCACTGGACATGCATAGTTTGATATGAATACTAATAATGCAAGATCCTTATCAGATATGAGGGGGCTTAGTAAATAGTTAACTATGATTAACACGGTCAAAACCTTTGGTGCATCGAAGAAGCACATAAATGCACCACATATACACAGCATATGTGCACAAATTAGTGCTTTATTTTTTAAAGCAAATTAATTGTCAATAGTTGTTTTATATTCTCAAAGCCTATCCCCAAAAGATTCTTTCTAATATTTTTGACAGTATGCTACCCAGATAAATTGGGCTGTAGTTTTCTAAGGTGGATATTTGACCAGTTTTGTCCTTGACTAAAGGCACCAATAGAACAGTTAACATGGAGTCAGGTAGGCTGCCATGCAATAACTATCCAGAAAAGCGAGTATGTGAGTAAAAGTGAGATTTTTCTGCTGGCAAACTCCTATTCCATCAGGACCACATACTTTGTTTTTGTTCACTGTTGCTGCAAATTTATGCACAAGACTCATGTGTGTCTGCTTCAGTGAAGGAGGGTTAGAAAGTTTGAACCTCTAAATCCGCCCCTTTTGGCTACATCTTCTCACGGTGGCTTTGATTGCACAATCTCTAAATGCTTCATGACATTACTGGGCTTCTGAGACTGTTGCATCAGATGTGTTTCATGTGCGTTCACAATAAGACCCAAATCCGGCACACCAGGGACACAGGTGGGAGGTTGCAAAATATAACCAACTTAAATGAGCTCTCGAAATTAAGGAATAAAGAATTGAAGTCGCTGCAGGGGAGAAAATATGCAACAAAAATCCAGACTGGAAGATAAATGAACGCAGTGAAGTGCCAAGCCTACAGGAGGTGTGCAAGGTCAGGCAGGCATATTTATAAAGAGAGGGAAAGGCACAAGAAAAACAAACGTAACTGAAAACATGTGCAAACAATCAGGCAATCACATGGTGGTGGGAAAAAGCCCAAGACAGGAGGAAATGTGTAGCACATAGACAAATAGTGATATTCATTAATATACACTAAAGACCTAAAACAATACCAGACCATAAAAATTATTTCCATGTGTCTCAATTCTCAGTTAAAATTTGAAAATTACAAAAAAGAAAGAATTATCATGCCGTGTTTGGGATTTACTCTTCACTGTCTGTCTCCATGATCCCATTCAGAGGGCATCCCTTAAGTCATCTCTCATGCTCTGAACGGATTATCATCCTAAAATGGTGCAGTGTTTAAAACAACCACATACAGTTGGCTTCTTCTGAAATGGTTCCTTAAATAATCACAGTAAAATAAAAACTGATTATATCAGCAAGAGGCAATTTAATTCACATATAATGAGGTGTAATTCCATTGCAGTCACTGTGCACCTATGGTACAGTATTGCGTATCGGCGTGCACTGACTGCAGTCATCAGTAAATCATCTTCTGTTGGTCGGCAAACGGCTTCAGGAAGGATTTTCCTCTCCATTCAGCCTTGGAGCTGTGGCGGTGAAGTTTCTGTTTCCTAGCAACCCCCTGTCCAGCACTTGTGTTTATTTCACACTGTTGCAAAGAAGCTGCGGACATCAGTCTCGGTAAGAAAGAGGGAATCTCTAGACGACATGTTACTCTGGAAGGGTTTCTGTTCCTGTCCCCTCGATTAGGATTAATGGAGCTGATCCAAATTATATTTTTTGTTAAATCAAACAACTAATACAGGGCAGAAAATCTGAAAACTCTGAATGCATCTCAGAGCCGTGTCATCACTCATAAAGATATTTTAGGGCAACTTTTTCCTCATCCTTGTCTGTGATGTAACTACTGATGACTGTTCAGGCTGCCCGGGTGTGAAAACACAGTGTCACTTTCCTTCCGTTAACGTCAGTTACAGGATCATTTGCTAGTGTCCCGTCAGCCTCTTCTTCCTCCCTCAATCTGTGTCTCAAGAGAAAAAGAGTTACTCAATCAATAACTCTGACGATCCTGCTCCTAATCTTTTGTCTGAACTTCTGGCTTTTTCTCCCCTCTTTCCTTGTTTTCTTTAGGTCTGTCTACATCCATCCTTCTTCTCATTACTTGTCTTTCTTCTAGGGATGACGATTAGCTTGTGATTATGAACTGTAAGTGTATTATACATGTTTACTCTTCTGTTCCCCCTGTTTTTCCAGGTGGTGCGGGATCAAATCTCCCACTGTACAGTAAAGTTGCGTCAGACCACAGGCCTGATGGAGTACTGTTTGGAAGTCATCAAGGAAAATGACCCCAGTGGTTTCCTGCAGGTAAGATGGCCACAAGACGTCCTTTTTACTTTTACAAGCTACAGCTGAAACAATGAAGTAGAACTGGACGAAAGATTTCTTAAAACAAGGTGGTACAACACCTCCAGCTGACATCAAAAAGTAACTTCTCCGGCTATTACTGGAATTAAACTGTTGGAAAACTGATCCATAATTTCATTAGAAAGACGTAAATGATGGTTTGCCAAAGAAACCAAATATTTCCAAGCTCTGCTTTTTAGGGGAACAATTTTGCCTTATTAAAATCAAACCTTGCTTGACATCTGTTTAAAGGCAAAAAAAACTTTATGTTTCTTTCTAAAGCTGCCTCTAACTGACGTTTTTGTTCTGATGAGGTGATGAGCAAATGCTGTGTCACACTTGTGACACCAGTCAAGCATTACGTGTTTGGTGACCTTTTTAAATTGATATCTTAATTATTCAGCAAGTGATTTTAACACCATTCAAAATTCTTCATTAGATCATGAATGACAAACTCATTTTACGTCGTGGGCCACGTCTTTGATCTTAAGCGGGTCGAACCTGAGAAACTCCCCTTCCTGTCAGCGTAAAGACATTTAACTATGCATTTAATCCGAAATTCAAAATGCTGATGATAAAGAGAATGAAATAAAAGAAAGAATAAACGTTTCTGTCACTTAGATGTTTATCTATTATTTAATTACTTTAATGTAGTATGAATAGCAAAGGCGAAGATCTTTATCAGGAGGAAAACCTGTAAACCTTTTCATAAGATTTTCATCTATGGCTCCCTTCGTATGTTCCAAAGCCAGATTGGGGCCAAATTAGAGCCTTTGCCAGGTTGATTCTGGCCCCTGGGCCCTATGTTTGACACCCCTGAATTAGGAGACATATGGGAGAAAACATAGTTTACCTATTATAACTTTTTTTCTTTAAATTTTAATGAGAAACTATCCAAGTTTGAAAACATTTTTTGGAATACAACTAGAAACCTTTTAGACACTTGATGGAAAAGAAAAATCCCATTATTGCATTTATGGATCATTGCATCTTTATCTGCATTTCTTCATCTGAACGGAGGCTGAAATGTTCTGGCAGGCTTATTATTAATGAGTAACAGGGAGAGATTTAGCGGTAGATTAATCTGTACTGTGTGTCTCACAGATCTCTGATGCTTTGATTCGGAGAGTCCACATGACAGAGAGTCAGTGGGGAAAGGGGACCCTAACCCCCAGGATGACCAGTGACTTTGACCTCACTCTGGACAGTGGACCTCTCCTGCAAACAATCCACCAGCTGGACTTTGTACAGATGAAAGGTACACAGACAGAGAGCCTGATATTTTTTTAAGAACCACTGTTTGCTCTACTTAAATGTGCAAAATTCTATCTAAAACTTTTACACTCTTACATTATAAGGCCCTCACTATGTGTCCTTTTATACTTATAAAAGTTGTTTTTGCTGTAATGCAGAGTTATATCCACTTGGGGAGTGAGTGTGTGTCTCTTCATACCTCTGTGGGCTGTAATCTGGCCTCGTTTGTCCCCTTCTTAGTCCCAGCTGCTCCCATGCTCCAGCTGGAGGAATGCTGCACTCAGAACAACAGCGCCACATTGTCATGGAAACAACCACCACTCTCCACCATCACCGTGGAAGGATACATCCTAGAGCTGGACGATGGAAACGGGGGGCCATTCAGGGTAGGTTTCCTTGTGCAGGTACTGTTTTGTCCCTGCAGGCTGGAATTTATCTGTCTGCTTCAGCAGTATTTTTCTTTAAATGAGAAGTTTTGTGATATTTACATTTAGATCCCAAAACAAAAAGTGAAAAACAAGACCAGCTAGAGTATAAATCACCTTTATGTGACATGCTTTCCTTCTGTCTGGGCAAAGACTCCATCATTTGATACCAGGGAGGACACCGGCTCAGCCAGGGGAATGTGGCAGCAGTATTTTGTAGCTGAAATCACTCAAGTTAATGTGTGACAGTCGTACAGAGCACGTCACGTGACGCAGCGTAACAAGGCGCTGAATGACACGGCGTCAGGAGGAAGCATTTGTACCACCGCTAGGATGATCCTGTAGGAAGCGTGATCCGGCATCAAAGCAGTCGTCATACTCTCACAGAGGTTTAGCATGTAATCCATCCTATAAGATACTCCCCACGCTTCTATTCACTGAAGCCCCTGCTTTGTTACGACAGCAACTTATACCTCCTGAGCCATTCCCTGGGTACAATGGCAAAGCATATCTGTGTCTGAATTCTAAACCTCCGTATAGTAGGCCTGTTGATTTTCGCAAGAATCAATCTGGGAGGCTTCCTAAAAGTGATATTAACATACAGGATGCAGCGCCAAGGCAAGAACCTTATTAGTACTCGCGGAGTTGGAAACAAATGAGTCATGTTACTTGGTTTGCAGAATAAATGTGGTTTTATTTCAACATAGCCCTGAGGCTCACACTTTGTAAGCAGGCAAGAAAGCAATGTTTAATTAAAAACAGAAGAAGAAGAAGAGAGGGGAAAACAAAATCTTCTTCTTTAGTAGTATGAGTCTCCATTTAAAGAGAGCAAATTAAGAGAGATAAAAGTGCTCCTCATATCTTCCTCTATATATAATCTCCAATATGTAACCTAGGAAAAAAATGTGCGCTGCTTAATTAAAAACAAAAAAAAAATCCTCAATAAAAGTCAGTAAAAATTTCCAACTTCAGTATTTCGTTCACCGAATTCCTTCTGTGATTTAGGTGTTGCATTTGTTTAAGCACTATATCACGATATTCCAAGCAAATGATATTTCCGATGATAGGTGATGAAGTTATTTGGGGCTGCCCCTTTATAAATATTTGTCATGAACCAGCTCGAGGTTCAGACAGTTAATGGCATTTAACAGAATATATATTTACTTAAATTAAACGGAAATATGCAGTGACTAAATCTTAAAAAGAAGAATAATTTAACCCAGAACCCAAGCGAAAAAAACAACAAATGTTGAATATGAACACAAACACATAAAGAGGTGGGGAGGGGTAATGAAGGCCTGCTCTTGCTTGCAGACATGTCTGGGCTTGTGTTGTTGATATATCATTGATGTTGTCGCAGGACGCTGATACCATTTAAAAGTTTATACCATTGTTAACATGGACAGTGTGATATGGCACAGCCGTTCTCTTTACTATTACAGCTTTTGGATAACGAGATCAGACCCAAAAAATGTTTCTCACAGTTCTTTTTTTTCTGTTCTTGGCCCTGTATGATGTCAGTGGGAGCATGTTTCCTAATATGGCTATCCTGGGCACAACACTCTAGCTGTGAGCAGAGAAGCCCCACCCACTTTCAAACCCTCTGTTTCAGACAGAGGCTGATGCCCAGATATAACATCAATAATGACTTTTTAAACTGTGAATCATGCAGAGCTGGGACATATGGAGTCGGAAATGAGTGTAATAGGTCTCCTTTAATAAAAAGAACACAAGCCAATAAAAAGCAGCCTGCAAATCCCCGAAGGCCAACCGCACACACACACACATACATAAACATCTCATCTTCGATATTCTAGTCTGCACTTTCTGTCAGCATCCTCTCATTACTCAAAAAAAAGAAGCACTATGTCCATTATATTCATTATAGCAGCTGGTGCAGCATAATTAAAGTATTTCGCACACCCCCGGCAGCAGTAACTAGAGCTTTTAACTCAAAAAATATTGGACTTTTTCATCCCTGCTGTGCAGAGATCCCTTGCAGATTCTGACTGTGAAGCTGTTGCTTTGCTCAGTGGTTTGTAAGGAGACTGGAAATGGATAGCAGCTATTTCTTAACGTATCTGGTTTTGTTTTGTTTTTCAAACTTATGAAAAGCAGACACTTACGTCCTAAATGCAGACTGTAAGCTAAAAGCAGCTGGTCGTAGTCGTTCACCCTTCAAGTTCTTTTCGTGTTCTGTAATTGTCTGTTTCTTAATTACAAG